CAGGCGGCACCGGAGCCGGCAGGTTGTGTCCGGGGCCCTCCCAGGGCCCGCGCCCAGGCCCCCCGCCGGCCGCCTGCCTGGTTTCATCCGTCCGCTAGCCCTGAGAGTGGCAGATGAGGAAACTGAAGCACAGGAAGTTGAGTCCTTGGCCTGAGGCCACACAGCCCGCAGGAGGGGCTGGTGTCTGAGCCCTGGACAGCCGGGAGCCCCCGCCGGCCGGCCCCCGCCACCTGTGCCTGCCCTTCTGGGTCTGTGTCGGCCTCTTCCGGAGGCCGCACCCCCTCCCACCCTTTCTGGGATGCCCAGCTGGCCTCTGGCCCTCGGGACAGGCTTCCGGCAGGCTCCGGCCTGGCCTCTGGGTGTGTGTTCCCCCGCCCCCGCCCCCGCCGGCCATCCCGCTCTCAGAAGACCCCAGGCCTTTCCCTGAGTTCACACCTCACTGCTGGGGGCAGCCGCACGCCCCAGGTTGGGTCCCGGAGGCCCGCCCCAGAGCTTACCTAGTGTGAGGAGGCCGGCGGGAGGGCCCCAGGGTGGCTGGTGCTGCTGCACTGACGGGCCTGGCTGTCCAGCGTCCCCCCAGGCGGGCCCCCGCCGTGGTCCCGGGAGCAGTTGCTGGGGACAGGCAGGGACACTTCGCAGGGGGCAACTGCGGGCTGCGGGCTGGGGGTCAGGTCAGCTGGCTGCGGTGGGCCGTCCCAGACGGTGGGCGGTGGGGGCCGCCTCTGGCCCGGTGCCCCTCCTGAGGGTGGGCCCAGCTTGGGGCCGTTCTCTGCGCCCAGGGTCTGCTTCTGGGGCGGCTCCATGGGCCCCGGCGCGCCCCGTGCCCTCTGGCCCGCCACGGCACTCGGGACCGCGCGGCCCGGGGGCTCCCTTGCCGACCCTGCCGCCGGGCCGCGGCACGGCCCGACCTCGGCGGTGACGGGCGCTTTCTCTCGTAGGCTTTGCCGCCAGCACCTGTGCAGAACCACACGAATAAGCGCCAGGTATTCAGTGCGTCTCTTCAAGACCACATTTACCCGAGCTGTTTTGGGAACACTCCAGAGTGGACTAGTTCTAAGTTTATAAGTCTGTGGGGAGCACAAGTGATGAATGATAAGGACTGGAATCCTGGCACTTTCCTGCCAGACACAGTTTCTGGTAAGGAGCTCGTTAAACTCTTTCAAAGGTTTGAAGCAATCGGTGCTGAGCCGGCGGCCGCAGTCGCTGGCGGCC